CCATGCCGGAACACCTAAATGTTCTTCTGGAATTTTTACAGTGACAAGGATCTAATTAGGGCTGTGCAGTGCCTTGGGTTCAGTTCCCAATGGAATTGAACCAGCACTTCAGAACCAGCCAGAGTGCAAACACAGCGCTGACTGGCCACTTGTTAAAGCAGCTGCATATATTCCCGAGATCTTTGGCAGTGAAAATTAGGCCACAGGTTAAACGTAAGACAAACATGGACATCTTCAGGCTTCTCCCCTGTGCCATGAAGGCTTCAGCACCTCAGCATGGTCATCATCCCCCACTTTGCTCCCTACCTGCATTTTGCCCTTCAGTCTTTTCCAATAAAGCCACTAGAAGATCCCCAAACCTTGCATATCTTTTATGCCTTTCATCAATCAATCAATTTTATTTCAGTCATAGACCAGCATATTTATGCCTTTCATGTTGGCAAAAGAAAAGGTGATGTTGCTCTATCATGGATTTTGAAAATGACAAATCCAGTTAAATATAAGTTAGAACTATGTCTGGACTGCAAAAATCCTGGAAACCTCTAAAATGGCAACACAATTTTTTTTAAAAAAAGTATCTCCTTGCTGTCCTCTAGTGGCCCTCTGGAGTTTTGCAGCCCAGATATGCAAAATTAATGTAGTTATTGAACAAACATTCCCTGGCTATGCTCACATTTTATGCTCAGAGTTTACATAACTCAATTTTCCAGGTTTGCCTACTTCACTGAGCCAAAACCCCGGGCTGGGCTTGCATAACATGCCAGGCTAACATGTGACGGCCTTGTTTACAGTGCAGCGCAAACTTAGCAATGGATCCCAGCCAATTGATAGTTAACCAGGAAATAAATAAGATCACGAAGGCAAACTCAGTTTTGTTGAAAAAGGCAACATCCATTCAAGTGACAGAGAAAGTAACTAATAGTATTCTTTCTCACAGACCAAGCACGCTTTTAAAGAAACGTCAGTTTTCTTGGTTTCTATTTGTGAGCTGAAGCAGTGTATGTATGTATGTATGTATGTATGTATAGATAAATATATAGAGACATATAGAGACATAGAGATGATAGATAGAGATACACAGATACACTGCTCTATCGTATATATACAGTATATATGATAGAGCAGTGTGTGTGTGTGATGTGTGTGTGTATACACATACATACATATATACACAACATACATACATACACTGCTTCAGCTCACAAATAGATATATCAGATTCTCGCCTAGCCTTGCAGCACCGGTTTGGATCTGATCTCGTGAATTCCTTCTTTTGATCTCGGGCTCGGTTTATTTTGTGCTCTATCTCACCCAGCGCTCCTTCCTCTCCCCCCTCCCTCCTCCTCGCAGACCCGCTTGAACTCAGCAGGCTGCTGCTGCCATCAGCGCCAACTGCTGTCGCTGCTTTGCACGACCCTCTGAGAGCCGCAGTCCGGGGATCCACCTCTCCTCGCGGCAAACCCACCGCCGCGACCCGGCCGGGCCGGGCCAGGCCGAGCCGAGCCGAGCGCCGCTCCAGCTGCGGCGGCTCAGAGCAGAGAAACCCCTTTCGCTGGCGACGCCACGCCTCGGGGG